CACGCTTTACAATTCGATGGGAAAAGGGAATTGGACAGTGTCGTTTTCTCTTTCGAACTTATTTGACGAGAGAAGGCAAGTTTTATCGATGGCATCGCGTGAAATGGTTCGCGAAAGTATTCGAATAACCACTTGAACTTTTCTCTAGTGTATCTTGAGATTTGAGGATGATCATATGGATGTTTGAAAGCAATTTGGAATTTTTTACAAATACGTTTAGTAAGAAATTAATACATTCTGCGAATAGTGGCCTTAAACATATGTATAAGGAAAAGTTGTTCGCAGGTTGTTTTGAATTTTTTAAAATTTCAGTGTCAAAAGTATTTGATCGGTGTTTAACTTTTTATATTTAAAATAAGTCTCTTTGGTAATTAATATCTTTAATCGTTTCCTTAATAATTGACGATCAAAGCAAGTTTCTTTTATGATTGTTAAATCACTTCAGTAATTAATTTAATAATCATAATAAATTTCTTTCACAACGCCTGACTGAATGACGAAACTTTCTTTGGGCGTGGAATAATAAATAATTTATTTCCCAAAGGATATTGTATGCATTTCGTGCATTTCATCGCCTACGCTTGACACATATAATACATATAATACATTTCATTCGAATTTAAATTTCAAAAGGAATTTTAAAAACAGATCGCATTTTATTTCATCTTCCCTAGTTTGCGTTTCACTAGGACTAATCGATTTGACAAACGAGTGGCTCGAAATGTCGAGTGTGTCGGTTTCACAGATGTGCGAGGAAATTAGAATAACTGTGAACCAGAACTGTGCGAGAGTTTGCAATATATATATACGTGTCGTCATTCTTGATAATCTTCGCGAAGAAAGAAACTCGTGTGGGTAGTGTTTGCGTGCGTCTGTGAAGCAGAAGCGGAAGCTGAACGAAACACGAAGAACATAAAGGTGGCAAAGCAGTGCCACCAACCCCTGGGGACCATTGATCTGACATTCCCTACGGTGACGTCACCTTCATCCAATAGAAGCGGGTCAAATGTCGCAAAAAAATCGCTATGCTTGTAGGATGCTGGCTACGATTCAAGGATGTCGTATCTGCGTATCCTTGTCGAATCACCTGGCAAGATGGAAATTCCCTATATTTCACTTTCATCAATCAATCAGTCGTCTCACTCTGCATGGCGAATTGAAATTCACGGTTCTAGTTGAATACAGTCGCGTATTTCAACTTCTAGAAATATCATCAATCTTGCCACCTCAAACTATAATATTAAATATAATATTTAAATTGGTACGTAAAGCGATTTTCAATTGCAGCTCTGTCTTCCTAAACTTCGCTTTCAAAGACGTGAATTCGTATAAAGAATCTACACAGTTTATACGTTTATATGTTCGAAGTAAGGAGTTTGACGTACCAACGATATTGTTCACTTACGTGTTTCTGTTCTTCATTGAATAATTAATACATAATCATCAAAGAGGAGAGTACTCGCTTTCAGCAAACGCGCCATCATCTCGCGCGTGTGCATTCTTCACAAACCCATTACCACGAAATTGTGGCCTCTCTATAGGGCATCAATCTCGATTAAATAGTCTCAGTGACAACACTCATCCTTTAAAATAGATGTCCTCGTCGTCCGGTGCTCAAACGTTGCTTCTCCGTTCTTTTCGAGACATTCAATCGATCTTATTCAATCTTGGTCCGACTGTTTCGTTTTTTAATGCAGTTCGTATCGTGGAGAGGTATCGAACAAGACGATTGGCCAATGACACGTGAAGAGCGAACTCCCTCTTAAAGTAAGAACACAGGTTTAGGTTCGCGACGTCGCTGACTATCGCCGGGGGAAAAATGCAAGTGGCAAACACGAAAGGTTCCAATGGTTTCGAATAATTTCAACTACTTGCATTTCATCGAGAACTTCTTGTCGGAGATAGTAATTCAACTGACTGAGTAACTGAAACAAACGCGACATCGCAGAAAGAGGCAGCTGATTAATTTGCTCGTTTGAGTTGCGGATAGTTGATGAGGTATTCTGCAGTTGTGAACAAATATCTGGCCACTGAGAAAAGTCCAGTCAGCAATGTGTTAACCTGCTAGTCAGCCAAACAGTCAGCTACATCTAATTCTAATCAAATAAACAAAGTATCACTTGTGAGTGAATAAACGTAAGTAATGTTTGAAATAAGTACTTCTAAAGAACGTTGCATCGTGGAGCAATTTTCAATGCAACTGACTATGCAACGTCGTTGTTGACTGTTTCATATCGAGATCCATTGCTAACACAGAAAAATCACAACTTGTTTCTGTACTTTATAACGTCGTCGTAGCTTCGAAGTTATGAGTTAATATATTTTTAAGTCTAATCCTGATAATCATAATATGACGAAAGCATCTTGATATGACTATAGATCATTTATTGACAGCTGTCGATCCTTACTTCGTACATCAGAATCTATTTCCACAACTTACTCTATCGAGTAGAGTGTTGCAGATAACTTGGCTCACTGCGAGATACTATCCTTTGACAGTAGAATAATTGTTTCTTCTTCTAGGGTACAATTTTCGAACATTGTGAATTCACCGATATTTTGCACGTATTTGAAGATTGCTGTTCGCTGCGTTTAAGTAACATGAATCTTTTTACATCTACTGAAGAGATTCGGGTTACAGAGGGTTAAAGCGGGACCACATACGAGAGAGTTTACTGTACTTGCAACCCTCTGAATTTTCAGAGGGTTGAGAACCACCGGCATGACGTCACAGAAAGTTCAATGACGTCATAGACCGTTCGATACACCGCGATCTGATGGTGGGGGTTGGTTCACCGAGAAACGCTCAGGACCACGGTAGGGTGGAAACGAAGCTGTGCGCACATACAGGGTGTCTTCACGCGACTGGAACAAGCTATATCCTCGAAGCGATTGAAGAGAAGAAAAAGTGTTATAAATTAAAAATAAATGGTATTCGATGAAGCATGATCTGGAAATGATTTTATGTATTTTTATATTTTGTATTGATACATCTGGAAAGATCTCCGTTTTAAACAGACATTTATAGACAACTGAATGGAATTTTTGAATTTCTATAAAAAAAGAGTATTAACGTATTTTCAATTAACTGATCGTTTTGAAAGTTGTTGCAATTTAAAGTTTGCCAAATAATTTCGGTCTGTTTGCGAAATAATATCTGCAGGAATAGTTAAGCTATGATGTATTACGATGTTCGTAAACATGCTATCCTCGGTCAAACACTTGTTATAGTGCAAGCGTTTCATGACATCTGCAGACGCACTCAAATAATTCAGCAAACTTTCAACTGTAATATCTTCTGAACAATTTAGAGGAAAAATCTAGTTGACACTTTTCTGCAGAAATTAAAAGACCAGCCCTATCAAAATTACAGAGATTTGTTTAAGAAAAATATGCAGATGCATTTTTCTAATGCACAAAAATTATTTCCATACTCCGTCAAATTTAAAGAAACTGTTTCGTAAAATTTCAGTGAGACTCTATGAGTTAATTTTAATTTATAATATTTTCTTTCTACCTCCAATTATAAACGAAAGGTACAGCTTGTTCCAGTTGCAAGGAACACCCTGTGTACACACACATATACAAACGCAGCGCCAGAGGGGAAGCCAGCGTGGAGAACGAGAGACTTTTCACGCCGTTGCAGCTGAATGCTACTACTACATCCGCCTCGTAGATCAAAGAACTAGGCTGACAGATTCGGCCGCGTTGTTACCATTTTCTCTCAATCCTTTCTCTCTCTTTCTCCGTTGTTTTTCCAACGGAATACTAAAATTTCATATCGCGCGCGTTTAACGGTAACATTTTCGCGAGATTTCTTTTTAAAAAGATGTTACGTAGGATTTTTCATCGTTTCGTGCTACTGCAGTGGTTTTGAATTTGACCGTTTATGGGAAAGTTTTATATTTATATTGTACGCGTTGTATGAAACGTTTTATAAATTTATTTATAAGAAGACACGATTTTTGAAATCAACTTTCAGAATGTGTATGAAAGTCACAAGATGCTTATTGTACGCATGTGTTTAACAAAAATTGGACATGGCGAGCAATAGAAATTAAAAATCAAAAACTACTTTACTGAATATTATGGTTTGCCAATGCAATTATTTGTTTAAACAGTTTTTGTGATCTTTGTGTCTTGGTTTCAAATTTGATCAATTTAATTGACGATGATAATGCATAATTGCGTTTGTTGTTTCTTAATGAAACATATTTCTTATTAGGTTTTATCATTCATAACATCAAATTTCAATAGTTGAATAGAAATAATATTAAATAACGTAAAATTCAACGTACTTGAGCTTAAATAATTAGCACGTACACAAATATTTTTTACAGCTACTATATACAAGCCAAATGATTATCTTTACGAACTTTGAAATGGCGAGAAAAACTTTTTCTTGGTATTACTTATACTATACTTCTATTTTCTAAGTGAATAACAAAACTGCAAAGCTCGCGGAAAAATAGAGATATTCATTCAATTTCACCTCGTATGCTAAGTATCTGTAAACTTCAAACATTTTATCTGACTCTGAAAATTTCTCCAAATTTCCACTGAAAATAGCATTTAATGTACGTTCAAGCAGCATTGACTGGATGAATTTACCACGTACAATTTTCCCATGAAAAATACATTCGTAAACGGAAACCGAGACGTCTGGTTGGAAGTATAAATAAAGGGAAGGGGCGATGCTCAAGGGTAGTAT